TGAGTACAAGTCCTGTGCAAAAACGCATGATCGCACGGGCCCGCCTGGTGCGTTTCAGCCTGGGTTATCCTATTCATTACAGGTGGCTTACTTTTAACTTTACTGAATCACTTTGCTGTAAAATCACGAGATTTTTGAAAAGCAGGACAAAGATTGAGTTCCATTAAAAGTCTGTTTTTTCATTTTTTAGTTCGAAAATTTTTCCTCGATATTTTCAGAAATTTTATTTTTTATCCAGCAGAAATCTAAAGCCCGAACTAATCTTAATTGAAGCTACGAACAGAAAATGTTAATGGTGCTAGCAACTTCAACAGAATTCTGGGCCACTCTCAAGCTGCTTTATTGTTATTCATCCAATGGAACGCATCAGAATTTTCCGGACTTGGTGATTCGACCAGTTTCTTATAATCGAGTGTCACAGTGTAAGTGGGAGACGTACACTGCAAGCTGTTCGGTAACAATTATTCCGCGTTTCTTCACAATCACATCTGGAAAAAGTGAGCTGCTCGAGACTAATCAAGTGACACAGGTTACTTCTCAGTTACGTTCGTTATGTTGCTTTTCCGCCATTGTACAACTGTAAAAGAGTTCGGCCGACTTCTTCATTAACGCCGTCATATTTAAGACATCATATTATTATTAACATTATTATTATCATTGTTTTATAATTATTGGCGCTACTATTACTATCTTGCTTTATTACTACAATATTACTAAATCGCTACTACTTTATCCCGACGTTAATACTTTATTTTAATCATATTTATTCCCTTTTATTTATTATTACTGCCCCACCGTTTTTTTTTTAATTCTTATTATATATAAACTTGTGCATATCTAAATAACTGAATTCCTCAACAATGAAAGTTGAACCAGTAGACGTGCACCGGGATTGCTGGTGCGGTCATGTATTTTTTGCACACCTAGTTACAAAATTGTCATGTTTCTGAAGGTTAAATTTATGAGACTAAATGATTATTATGATGTTTTATCCACATACTACTTTTACCATTAGCATTGGTGACCTTGGGTATATTTACTTGCCCGTGATCGCGGACGATGATCACAAAATCTCAAGTTCTTTAACTGCCTTGATCACAGGAATAAAAAGTTATCACCGTAAGTTGTGTATGTATGAATATGAGTTATATGGGGATTTCTGGTTTTTTCGATGTTTACGTCCTCTTAAGTGGTCATAGTGTCAACTTCTAACTTTCCTACACCTGAAACACTTGGGTGTTTGAAAACCAAATTTACTATCTTTGGGTCGCCCATGAACAGAGGATGCAAATTTTATCTTATCTGAGCTGTTTTGTCAAAAAAAAAAAATCTTTTTTGTGTCCTGAGTAAGAGTCGAGACTGAGAACCAGGGAAAAGTGAACATTAATTTTGAGCCTAGGAGCAGGTATAGTAGAGTAAATTGACAGAATTTTAGCTGCTTAGTTTTAGTAGAACCTGAGATCGAAATTTACGAACTCATATAAGCACACAAGCAATAGAAACGCACACATATATACACACACAGTAGTACCTCAGTGGTTTCAAGAACTTAGTCGCTTTAAGATGTGGAAAATTCGTTCGAATTAGTCTTAACCTAACAAAATCTGAAACACAAATTAGAAAACCGAACTATTCAAAGCGTCTATAGCCATAATAAACACGACAGAAGCAGTAAAACAAACACCGCGTTGACCCTTTGTTTTTCATAGTAGAGTGCAGCGCAGCCCGAAACTTTTCCAGATCACTTACGAGACCCCAATGTTACGACGGTATGACGTAATTGCGTGCAATACACCTCTATTCTATGTAGACAACTGGCAATTGCTGCTAACATCCGTGGAATTGCGGCGATATTTCGGTGTTTCGCTACAGGTTTTCTACATCATCAGCATCGAGCACAATTTAATGCAACTGCTACAGGTTTTCAAATGCTTTTGCACTCAGTTGTTTTTTTTTGAAAGTATCCACTTTCTAGAGTTGTGACTGGCTCATCCGCAGGCCAACTAGACTAAAATCTTTTTTTCAGCAAATCCGTGTTTGATTACCAGTTTGTTTTGAAATAAAATAGGAATTCCAATTCAGCGACACAGCAGTTCTAGAATATGGCCTTAATTTTAGCAAGTTGGCAGCGATGTAAAAAAATGCTCCGTTTTGGAAGTTGGCCGTTACCCATATGTACTTATTACTGGCAAAATCATCAGCCTTACCAAAGTCATGCTAACAGTCGGTCGGAAATCCAGTGTTAGTTGTATTAACAGATGAACCCTTATGCCGGACGTCCGTCAGTCCAGAGTTGCAGTGCAAGGAGAAGCTTATTTTGAAGAAATGTTAGTGTAGAAATGTGTACACATGGATCTCAACTTCTTTCCCAATTCTTGATATTAGCAGTAAAAACGCAGCTAAATTCAAAGCATGAAGTAAGGGAAAACAGCTTCTGCCGCTATTTTGCTGCTCTTTCTGCGAAAATCGTGATTTGGTTTTTGGGAACTGAAATCTTGCAACTGAAAAGGTAAAACTGAAATTTTCAAACCTTAACACTGCGTCTTTTGCCATGCTGTTTAATTCCGCCTTGGTGTATCAACAAGTGCACGCAACGACTGACATAGAGGAACATTAGAAAAATGAAACAGAAACTCGTAACTGAGTCACTGGCTGCTCGGTCAAGTCCCGGACTGATTGTGCGCCAGGAATTCCGAGCTTTAAGGTCGACAAACACAAACCTTTTCATACCCGTTTTCTAGGCTTGATTACTTTCGACTTTCAAAACAAAATAGCAAACACAGCCATAAATGAAGTCACTGGCGACGCGCATCGTGCAGGTCCATGCTATCCTCTGTTTGTGCATTAATCAGTGCTGCACTATGATTGTTTGGAATCCCAATAGTTGTAACTTGTGACGTACTGGCCATTAAAGCTCAGAATTTAATTGTGCAGCTACTTGTTTTTTACTTGGATAGGGCGCGTCTCCTCAAAATTTCTGCTTTCCAGCTTTTCTGGTTTCTGAGTTAGCTATTTTCTCGTCAAAACTTCTATGCGTCCGTAAGTGGGGCCTAGACGTGCGTGAAGGTTGGCGCCGCAGTCATGGTTTGGCATTTGGCAAGGTAACCGACTGACAAAATTTTAGTACCTGAGCTTGCTTGGTTGTCGAGTTGAAATACTCGGATAGACAGACACACTTATACAACATAAACACATATGCAAATACACGCTCGCGCCATGGGTCATCCAATACACGCGTTTTTATGCGTTTTTGCATATATGTAAATTGCAAAAGTGCACATTGCAACGGTCCTGTTTTTGTGTGTATGTATGCGCGTGTGTATGTTTGTGTGTGTGTTTGTGTCTTTTCGTCTGTCCGGGGTATTTCAACTCGGCAACCCGGCGCCAAAACTTTGCCAGTTGGTTCCCCAACCAAGTGCCACCTCAGGATCGCGGTACCAACTCTCAAGCACGCCTGAGCTTCGCATGCGAGCGCTTGAAAATTTTAACGGCAAAATTGGTAACTCGGGAACGAAAAAAGCTAGAAGGCTGAAACTTTAGGGGAATGCTCAACACTCATGCACGACCAAAGGACTTCAAATTCAGCTCGTTAGAATCGCCGGAGAATCTAGTGCGGACGCTTGGAAACTTTGGCAAGGGAATTGATGACTCGGAAACGAGAAAAGCTGAAAGGCTGAAATTTTGAGGGGATGTTCCTTCATGTGCGACTAGAAGACTTTAAATTCAGTTCTTCTAGCGGGGTCTTTTTCGCGCGCCATTTGTGGAAGGGAGTGTACAAGCTAAGATTGAGAGATGACCATTCAACAGTTAACTGTCTGGTTGCTTCAAGTTTAACACAAATAAGTACGATAGCACCAACTGGCCTAGCGCATCGCAGCCTGGATTTCCAACTTTTTATGTACGTCATTGTTTTTGCCATCCCTGCTATGGATAACGCTGAGAACTGCAGTGAGATTGATTAATCCATTTTATGCTGAAATTTATTCGTTTTACCGTGTAAGAAACAGGAAGATCATAATGGCTCAAAAAATTTTTCTAACGCTTGAACAGCCACATTGCAGTCATACGCAATCGACGGCTACGCAACACTAGAACCATTTGCAGCAATCGATATTGGAAGCGTGAAATATAACTACACTCCTAAAGAAGAGATTGCTTTTCGAGGTGCCGAAATCGCATACAACGGATGCTTCTTCAAATATAAGGTGTAATTTACAGAATAAAAAATCTTGCCGATTAGGAGCATAATTTGTTTTCTACTGATGCGACGGACATGGCCATGTGAAACATCGCGTTGCTGTGGTGCTTTAGGTAAAAGGTTCGACTCAGCTAGTAGTGTGGAACGAGGACACACAACTGTAGAGGATAGTGGACTGATGACTTCTTCGCTGCCGATAGCTGGGCTGTGATTTCGTTTCTGATAATAATCGAGTCTCCTGAAGAAGAATAGCATGTTGTCGATGCCGATAATTGTTAGAACTTTATTCATAAAATAGCACAGAAAACAAGCGAGGCGGATGGCGGTTACAAGTGAGATCACCTGAGTAGATTGACAAACATTCGTAGCAGAAACGACTGTTAAGACATCAGAATTATATCTCATTTTTTTTTTCTGCGTCCATCAAAGCCTACCTGAAACTCCTTTAAAGAAACCTGCAATCAAGCAGTTGTGAAAATACTGGCGAATAGCTTTAGTCGCCTAAAGGCAAGAGGATTATGTCCAGAAAAAGAATACTATTTTTTGCAACATCACGTTAGACTCATAAAGTGTGAAAGGAAGTAAGCGGATCAAATAGAACAGTTAATGCTAGGCGGACCACACAAGCTACACGGAGCAAAACATTAATTTCAGTTAGCTACTCGCTTTATAATGATCGGCGATCTGGACGATCTGCTGATTCCACGTTTCCAGCCCATCTACATTGAAGAATTCCAATGGCATTCTCGGTACAACAACATATCGGCAATTTCATATGATCGCCTTGAGACAAGAGTTTATTCCTGTATGCTATTCAGCATCCTTTGCCGTGTTTGCTTGTGACTATTCAATACAGATAGAATTTATGGCGAGTCGTTTTGGATTCCTTTAATTGGTGTTTGGTCGAATAGAGCCAAAAACTGCAATAATTAAGCACTGAGTGTTCGGATTTGAGCCACTATAGTTATTGTGGCTCAAGCGCTTAAACTCAAGTTTTTCGAAGAACCAAATTCAGGATGTTTTCACAGTTCAGAAACGACCAGCAAATCAAAAAATTGGCCAACGCACGGGCTGCCCGTGCGAAGATGCGTTTTTTGCAGAGTTCCCCGC